GAAGAATCATCCAATATATTAGAATATTTAAAGAAGCTAGTAATTCTAGGCTGCTTGTTTTTTAAGTTGCAACCGGCTTGTAAGTGTTTTATCAAGTTTGTTTCTTCATATGCTCTATATAAAGCTATCCGTTTTCTATAAGTACATTCAATTAAAGTTTCACTATAAATATATACAATAATTGGATTTTTTTTTAAGTGGTCTCAAGTATATTTCCAACCTATTTTTTTCTGCTTGTTTGTTTGTGTGTATAGTACTGCCCTAATAAAAGTATTTCCTTAAGTAATAATGAGATATTATTCAATAATAATAAAAGTTGAAAAGTTGTGAAATAAAGACGCGCAAAAAAAAGTTGCGTATTATATTTAATGAAAATTTAATGATCATCATTAAATTAAGAGATTTAAATATCAAAAAAAATTTAAAATAACCGAATTGTAAAAAATTTTTATTCTAGTTTAACCGACTTTGAATAATAATACTAAAAATTATTATTTCATATTAAAAAAAAAGATTTAAAAAAAATCTTTTAAAAATTAAAACAATATTTAAAGTTCATTTTAAAAAATTGTATACTTTAAATACATTAGAACTTCAAAATTCTTTTACATAAAAGAAGGTATTTTTTTATTTTATTTTTTTTAACGTTTATAGATAATCTAGTTACACTAATATGTATTATTATAAACTGATCATGTGACATATTAATCGACATGAAAAACTAAAAAATGACGCAAATTAGAACTGTAACATACTCTAACATTGGCCAAAAAGTCATCATTTTAACACAATCTCAATTTATAACTATCATAAAATTTTTGGCATTGGCGATGCAAACTCAAAATTTTTTGCCTATGTCTTATATTAAGAGTTTCTGTGGTCCTGGGTATATAGCACTTGAAAAAGTTATATGCAATGGAATTGTTGCTTCTTCTATTAAACAGTACTTATAAATACCTGATTCTTTCTGTATAGCATAAAGTTCTATAACATCACCTAAAATAAAAGCAACATGATTATTCACTATTGGTTTGTAATACAAGAGCAGAAGGTATAATATGGCTAAAGAAAAATAAAAATATAATGTATTACCTGCGATGTTAATAGCAAATATAGTCAAATTCTGCCTTTTGGAAAATTGATTGAACATTCTTTTGAGCTTCGATAAAATCCTAGTAGTATTAATAGAATCTTTGGATAATCGAATTAATTTTTTATGATCTTGCCGGTGTTTATCTTGGCTGAAATTTAGCTTCCAGTTTCAAGATATACTATTTCGAGTTCTGAATCTTTTTCTAATTGTGCTATGGTCATATAATTAGGCTTTCGTGCAAACTTGCGAGATCCTTTTCGTATAGTACTAGCTGAACTCCCCTCTTCACCCCTATTTAGAAAAATCATTAAATAAGAAAAAAGCACGACAGGAGATAAATATTTTATAGGTAATACTAAGCACTTACTATATATCTAGGGTTGGTAAAAGTCCTAATAGGTCCTAATTGGTCTTAAAGAATTTAAAGATAATTTTAATTTATATACTATTAATTAAATTTTTTAATAATAAATTAATCTTTTTAATAATTATTATATATTAATTATTTTATTAATTTAAAATAAAAAAATTCTTTAAAAATAATAAATATACTTAATTTAGGATCTGGTTCTAGATCTAAAATTTTAAATTTTAAAAAGAAATTTAAACTTATTTTCATAAGTAATTTTAATTAAAAAATTGAATATAATGATAATATTTAAAAAAATTTAATCTTTAAAACTAATAATTTTTTTAAAATTAATCAGGACCAATTAGGACCAATTAGGACTTTTACCAACCCTATATATATCCCATACAACAGGATTTCTAGGCAAATCACTCATTACTATATTTATTAATAGCATGAGTATTTCATAGACGTATGACCCTTCATTAACTGATTTCCTTTCTTTGTATAGGCTTCATACTTAGGTGATTTTCAAACTTTAAACCTAGAAAAGATCCCACCTATTTATATTATTTATGAGTAGTAAACAAACATATAAAGAAGGCAGAGTATAGAGTGAAAAATAAACTTAAAAAGATTCTAGAATTTGTCTTGTCGTATCTTGAAGCCTTTTAGAGCTATCTAACCATTTCCCAAATTTAACATCACGCAAATTCTCATCTTCATTAATCTTTGATTCTTCATTTTGGATAAATTCTTTACAAGTGTCTAATATATCTTGATTCTATTCTAACTTATATTTTTGAAACAGTTTCTTAAAAATATCGCAAAATGATTCAGGAATGTTTATGAAAGGTTCTAATTTGATATCGAGGACTCCCAAACATATTGGATGATCAAATCCAAGATTTTCTACATTTATATTATTAAGTTCCATTTTTATTTTCTCTCACATAATTTTCTCATAACCAGTGCTTTCATTCATAAGTTGCCCAACGTCACATTTCAAACACCGTAAATTTGCATTCACATCATCAGGTTATGTCTCAGCATTAATTACCAGAGCTTTTATTTCTGTTAGAGAACATAAATCTTCGAAGGCACTTGCAACCTAAATATAATTAGCTTAGTTTAGACTTAATATATTTTGTTAATTAAAGTGAATAATAAATCACAGGATCAGGTTAGGTTTCCATTTTCATAAACTATCAAAAAATACTGGCAATGAGCTCAATTATCAATATTCTGTGAGCACATATAACTAGTTACTGCCATGCAAGAAGTGATAATATCACAACAAACATTAGTGCATTCACTAGCATATATGCAATGGGATACCACTATGTCTTTAGAAAACCTAAAAATACAAATCATCATATCCATATATTTATCATGAAAATAATTTATCACCTTACCTGTTTAGCTAATTTTTTTCCAGTATCAAAACTTTGAAGCTTTTTTGTTCATTCAACATCCTTCAAGGGGACTTATTCTAAGAAGTTTTCTACCTCCTTTTTAAGAATACCTGACTATTCACCTTGTTCTACTCGTATAAACAATGTTGTAAAAATCCTAACTATGCTAAGAGGCTCTCTCATTAAAAGGAATTTTTCCATGTTTTAATAGAGTGAAAGTTAAATCTTAGTAAAAGCTCTGCTAAGCGAAATAAGAAAATAATGTAAAGGTATAATAATTTCGCTATACTGCCCTTTTAAGTATATTTATGATTCTCTGGACTCATAATTCATGTTGGAGGTAGATAGGAAAAATATGTAAGGTACTTTACGCTAAAATTTTGTATTCGAAAATAAGGACATGAAGGGTATGCATTGAAAATCTCAACTTTAGAAAGGTGTTGGGGTAATGCATATATAGATTTCTCATCCATCTACTTAATACTATGACCTGGCAACGTTATATAATGTATTTCAGTCGGAATGGGTAATCCTCATATAGTAGAAATAGTCTGTCTCTCAGCCGAAGGTGAGCAAGTATACATATCAGTTAATATATTATTTTTCTAGAACATTGCAAGAGAAAAAATTCGAAATATTTTTTGGGGAGGATTGATTTCCGTCTGGGTGTGAAATTATTTTGTTACACAAGCAGATAGTCGTATTTATACAGATGATTGGCAGTGTATCACGATTATATCATATATACACTTCACAAGCTTTAACGAGGATCAGGAACATGTTTATTTATGCTTTAGCACCTTAACGGCTGTCGCACATGCCTACGTGCATTAGCATAAGGCGCAAGCAAATATGCAAAGCACCTATAGCTATTTTGCTGATCACTTTGATAAGAAAAAATATAATAAGTTATATATCAAATAAAGTAATGGTCTACATTTCTCAAAATTAGTCAGTCATCCAGTTAAACAATCGTGATTTCTACCCCATTTCTTAATCTTATCGTAGCACCTTTTGGCTGATTAAGATGGTTTATAGATGCTAGTAAGTTATTTTGTTTTGCATACCGAGATGAGATAAATATTTCACTTGGAGGAGTTGGCCCCTTTGATCTATCGATCTGCAGGGTGAATGCTGTTTCCTTTTGAGAAAATTTATTTTTGAAAAAGGATTTATCAAAAGAATATTGCTTAACCCTTGCACGTCCAAGATCACTTAAAGGATCAGAACATTCTCGGTCCCAATGTTCCTGCATTATGTCCTTAGCTTCAATCATTTCAATGAATCGGTGCCACCTGTGGTGGTAAGATTTGATTGGCTTTACTTCATTAACTCGAAATGGTTTCCATCAACGAAAGCAAATCACCACATGATTTTTATGGATTCTAGGGCGATAATAATCATGATATGATTCTCGAACTTTAAGCAGAAACTATGATATACGTTATATCTTTTTCGTGATAATTAATCTTGAAGGGCAATTCTAACTCCATCGTTCTGGGGGTCTCACCCATTCAACAAATACTCTAATAATACCCAGGTTGATTACTAATCAGCTTAGGTAATCGTCATTGTTTTTTGTCAATAATCACCTTACATTAATGATGCTTAACAACAGTTGACATATTCAATGATTATGTGCGATAAAGTATGTTAAGTGGCTTATAACGTATTTTAGACTCTGATTAGGTGGAAGAATACATGATTCCTTTTTTATCCGTTTCGGAATGCAAATCACTTTGACTATCATAAATTAATGACTGAAATTTCCGAAAAAGGAGAATCTGACATCAACACCTTTTTACCTGACTTCGTGGGATTTATCTAGTATTTTATTATCCGGTGCATATACAGTATACACACTCCACACCACCATAAACGCTAAAAGATAGCCCATTAATTAGCCGAAACTTTATTAATATTTATTATTAAGCAATTTTGGATAAATGCAAACTATTAAACTATTACTATTACGAAGTTAAATCAAAAGAAAGCTTTAAAACAGCAGAAATAGAATGAACAAGAAGCTAAAATCAGAGCTGGAAAAAGAGCCAAACAAGGACTAACTTAAGTCCAGGGAGCGCTTTCATATAAAATGATTTTTACCAGAATGAAGTAATATTTGTTACAGATGTATAATAATTCATTGCAAGTTGGCGACTCTTCTTTTTTTAGGCGTGTGATGACAATCAGGAATATCAAATTCTTCAGTTTTTTTCGGTAGATTTTTCCATCTCTTCAGATTATCAGATGAGTTTGTTGTTGTATTATTTATTATTTTCATTGTATTCAAAATTTCGAGCTACAGAAAAATAAGATAAATCAATTAACGTTAAAGAAGTTAAAGGTAAGATAATCAGATGAAACTTACCTTAGCGTAAATGATGGAGACAAGAGCATCCAATGTTCTATTAAATTGTTTGACATCGGCATAAATCTCAAGTGGTACTTGCCTCATATATCGGCATACATATCCCCTTGGACAATCAAGGTTAGTTTTAATTAAATTAGCTCCTACGTAAATTCTGGGTGTTAGTAATTCAATCAAGTTCAATTCCAAAAAACGTATCAATACAATACAAACCTGCATGAATAAATCCGGGGATGTTGATTTTACGAATCTTGTCTTCGTCATAGTTTACCTTGCGCGCTAGATTAATAAAAATGTCTTTTAAAACCTTTGGTAAAGATAAACCGCATTCCTTTATAATCTTCGTCCCTTTTTCTCCTTCCCACTTCGATCCAGCCTCGGACGCTGCCCAATCAATTGACCTCGAACCAAATGACCGAACGTAACCATCTCCTTTCTTTCCTATAGCCCTCCGTTGCATTGGGCCTATGTTGCTAAGGGTTCTGCCACGATTTTTCCTATCTTTGGTCGCTAGTCCAGCTTTTTCGCCTCTATGTAAAAAAAGCAAAGTTAAATATAAAGCAGTAAATGATAATTATGTATCCCTTAAATGGTTCTTAATTAAGCTAAATGAATACTATATCTACTTTAAATACTTTCACATAATCATATAGCCTATGTACTATGAAAATTCCGGGTATTTTTGCCTGCAAATCCATTTAAGGGATCTTTTTACTCACCCAACGAAAAACACAAAGGGCAGGTCCGAAAAGGCTATATCAACTGTCCTCCAAACATTTATTCTGAACCAACTTTCCGGTAAATCCTGTGTAATTGTTAGCGGATTTGGCTCCATTTCTAGCAAACGAACCCTGCACAATATTTATTATTGATAAGTAATAAAATATGAACTATAAGAGTTTGATCATCACTTACCAATCAGATACTGTGGTTCTCACATGTTCGTATGGGAAATCAACTAAAGGATTGTAATTTTCGCAAAGTCGAGGGTATGAAGAATAAAGTGCTTTTCGTATGTCTTTTGTTGAGTCCTATAAAGAGAACTAGTTTGTCATAAAGATGCTAGATGATTGAAATGGCAACGCTCACAAATTACCTTTGCAAAAGAATCGATGTATCCCAGTAATTCATTATCTATCTGTGGTGATTCATACATGGATTTTGTTTCGCGAATCTCTGTTAACTCATCAGAAGTGAATCCTGACTGCACAAACTTGTCTTCGGAATCGATTATGAAAGAATGCACAAGACTAAAACAAACGAAATTTGGGTCGGTTAGCAATCACATCCTTGATTGTGCACCACAGTGTACCGCGGCTCTTACTTATTATATCTGCATTTTATCCCTAGATTGTACAAGACATCTTCAACATATGTTCCTGTGCTAAGCTTCCATTTTTTATCATCTTTCATGGACTGAAATCTATATTCAGAAGACAGTTAGACGATCTCTACAAAATCAGGACTTGTGCAAGAGCAAAAAAGACTTGCCTTTGTGTAAATAATTCTTTGTCTTGAAAAGTGAATTCGTCTTCTTCATTTTCGACTTCCTCGACTTCCTTATCCTGAAGCTCTTTAATTGGCTTTTCCTCCTCTTCGTTGTAATCTTGTTGAAGGTCGGCCGATGATAATCTAATAGCTGGTGTTGCTGAGGTAACAATTTCCTCAATTTCCGAAGTATGATCTACTAATACCCGCTCAGATTTGTATTGCAAGATTTCTTTTTTTACAGCAAAAATCTGGATCTCGCGCTAATGATAGATTAAGAAGAAAATGTAAACATCATGCCACGATATAAGATCAAAAAACAGTACTTACTTTATTAACTCGATCCTCGATCGCAAGAGTTGCTAAGTTTGAGCAATGATTATTCCATAAAATTAAATTTGCGGGATCTTTATCGCAATTCTAATGAATGATATATATAAAAAAAAGAGAATATTTATCCCAATTTTAGTGAAGATAATAGTGATTGCCTATCCACGCATGATATGATGGAACCTATAAGATCCACCACCATAACACACTTCCCACTTCAGACAAGAAACATGTTGTCTTGTGCGATAAAATCGCTCAGTTAACAACTGCAGGGTATGGATTGACCTATATGTCAATGAGGATACCAGCGCATGCTATGATGGAACCTATGAGATCCACCACCATAACATACTTCCCACTTCAGGCAAGAAACATGTTGCCTTGTGCGATAAAATCACTCAGTTAACAACTGCAGGGCGTGGTAAGACATAAAAAACGCGTTACTAACGGATAATGCTCTCTCCAGGGCAGCCGCTTTAGAATAACCACAGCTTGTGTTCTGTAAATGCTGAAGAAGACCTTGAGTTCAAGACCTAGTGTTCTGTGCGCTTGTCTTTTGCTGCATCCGGGAATTTGATTGATGTAATACATGTCCCAGTCACTTATACTGCCCCATAAGGTTGGGTTACGGTTCCAATAATCTGAAAGACAGTAATGGGGAGGTTAAAGTTACTCCTAATAATAATGATGAAAATCAGAACTTACCTGGGTAATACAAGTCGGCAAGAAGTTTATCGTTGATAAAAGTCATTTTCAATTGTTTCATAGCTTAGTTTCCAATCGTAGAACGCGTAGAATACGAAAGAATCCACTTAGTAATCTAAGCCACTTAACTGATTCACATTCATGATCACGTGAAATCGATCGACATGCGTGTAACAGTTTTTTTCAAAGAAAGATGCGAAATGTTGCCAGTAAAATCAAGTCACGAGATATAGTAAATCATATGATCCGTAATGTGATTTTACTGGCGACGCTGCTTAATTTTACTGCACATGGAATTACATGGAATTGACTAGATAAGATAATATCCCATCACGGGGATTTATTTTTGTGATACTGCGCCAGTTGTACGCGTGATGATGATCAAAATGCCAATATATACTGTAACAAGAAGAGCAATATGACCGAAATTTTCATGGACATCTGTAGAGTTGGAAAAAATTGATTGACATCGTGATGTCATGTTTCAAGAAGCTAGTCGAGCAATAAATTACTTTGCGGATTATACGAGTTCGTTTGATTGTTAATATCAATGATTTTAATAATGGTAAGCTTGACTGGTTTGAATTTTTTTGTTCATTTGCGCAAGGCGGATAAAAGGATTCACTAACAGGGACATAACCTTTTATACAATTTGCAGGATCGATTTTGTTATACACTTTTGGGGGAGATTACGTTAATATGATCGCATCACGAAAATCTGATCAACCGCCTTACCGCCTCTCCTTAACTTAACGCTATCCATATGTAAAGATCATCAAGGGGCCCTTTTTTAATAGAAAGTTTGAGAATAAATTATTTTGCGCAGTTGCTTGTTCCCGTGATACATGAGACGTAATAAATGATACTGCGCATTTATCGGGTTCTGGATCAATGACTTTGTTACAATAAACTTGATCGAAAAAATATTAGCATACATGCTTCCCACAACCCCATAACTAGTAAATTTGGTCTTTGCTTTATTGATTGTATGAGAAAAAAAAGTACATAATACAGGCTACATGATGACACTACTTAAAACTAAAATGATAAAAAATTTTCATATGAGCGAAGCATTATACTGCTAGCCCTTCCGTGATACTAATATGATTTTTGAAATCCTAAATGAAAAAAATTGTCTATAGCTTGTTGCTTCCTTGCAAATGCATAACACATAAATATCTTGTCCGGAAGTTTCCTCTCCAATATTTTTTTTTCGCTGGCATTTTTTCATACTGCTTATTCAGAAGATAAAGCAAATCTTTCGTCGATATCGTACTGCGCTGGGTGATAGTCTCTCACATGACTGCTCTATGCTACAATTGCGAACTTGAGTTTATTGCTTGAAGTGTTGCAGGTAAGACAATATTCCAACTTATCTTGGGAATACAACTTCGCTAATTCAGGATCATAAGGGAACTGATTCCCATTTTTGCGGTACCATGAGCCATGTAATCCATAATTCCCATGTTTTCCATCACAAATAGGGCATGGCGAGTTCCATGGCTGAGCTAATGCAAAATTATAATTATCAATCCCCCTAAAACTATTTCGGAATTTCAGGTATGTGAAATGCTTTAAGACGGAATCAATAATTAATTCTGGATAGGGTTTGGCTTCGTAAGTGATAGGCTCGAAATCGGAGGCTTGAGGTTTTGCTGATACACTTGTCACAGCTTCTGATAATTGCCATGGTTCACATCCAGTTTCTTTTTTATATCTTTTGTATAATTTGATACGAATCTTATCCGTCAAAACGCTTGGTAACCCACTTAATTTGGCATGCCAATCCAGATACTCGGGGGTTAATCTTTTATCAGACTTGCTCATGTTGCTTTTTTATAATTGCAAATCAATTTAATTAGGTAATAGTCAACATAAATTAGCCCTATAAAAAAAGTAAAAAAATCACACAGTGAAATGTGAGCAAATGTAGTATTATAAAATAATGAGACTATGCAATTATCTCAATTTCGCGCTGTTCACATTTAATAAAATAAGATCCAGCTTTATATGTACCTTCTATGCTTTCCTCATCATCATGCTTTAACTTGCATAACGGGCATGATGTCTCTTTAGTAACTCCATAATAATCGAAATTTTCGCTACTAAATTCTCTATATAAACTAGGATATTGATCCAATATCTTGTTGCGAAAATAGGTGCAGTCACAAGTTGGCTTAGATTGAGTTGCTTTCAGAGGAATATATGTATTAGTCAGATTAATTTTTGTAATCACATGACTCTGATCGTGAAGAATCTTCACGGTTTCATTGTGTGAACTTGTTAATGAATTCACATAATCTATTACATTTTGGATTTGTTGGTAATTGAGGCTTGAAATAGCATTTGCGCTATAAGAGACCTGGCTAATTTTCTCTAGTCCCAATGTGTTAAATAACTTGAATAGTTTTCTAGCTCTAAGGATTTTTTGACGCAAATTCACATCTGTTATTCCAGGTAGAAGCTGTTTGATTTCTTGATATATCATAGATGTTGCAGTTTTTTTCTTAACTCCACCAGAAACAAGGTTATCAATCCTTTTGTCATATTTTTCTATAAAGTAGCACCAGTATAAAATTGCTTCTTGACCAAGCTTATTAGCTTTCTTGAACATGTAAACTATATTTTGTGTGGTATCTGAAGATGGATCCTGTTCTTCTGAAGTTTGATCTGACGTAGATGTATGTGCAGATGACGATAACTGTTGCTTTAACTTCTGTTCCACAATTATATTTTTATCCAACTTGGCAATAACTTTATCATGCAAATTGGATTTAAGTTCCTCCATGTCGCATGACTCCGATCGTGAAGAATCTTCACAGTTTTTAAGATTACATGTTAATTTGGATGTATTAACTTGCGGTTGCTTCGATAAGACACAAGATGCAGATCCTATGCTCTCAATACCAGCCTCATAAGATTGTGATAAGTCTCGTTCGTCTTGCTCATCTTGCTGTGAAGTTAACATGTCTGTGACCTCAGGATTTTAGTCACATTTTGAGAAATTACGAGTGCATCGTGATCTTTCTGCTTCTTTTCCCGCCTCTTCTCTCTAATCTCATTACTAATGCTTTTCTTATATGCCTCATCCAAGAAATCAACCACTTTCTCATCGTTGCCATCAAGGTCACTAGGTGCTCGTCTTACTTCATTATTGAGCTGGTCTATTACAGAATCGGATACATCAACAGTTGGCATCGCTTTTTCACCGTTTTATGTCTGACCAAATGGCAACACCATCCCATTCACTGCTGAACCCTGTTCTAATAATGCAAGTCTAGCCTCAAGCTCTTTGACTCTAGACTTGAGTTCGGTATTCTCAGAATCACACCTTGCATTCTCTTCAATAATTTGCTTCAACCTCGCATTTTCAGCCTCAACTTCAGCAAATTTCTTTTCAAGTACAGGAATCTTATCATTCTTCTTTCTAAGCTCAGCAATCTCAGCTAAGAGCTTGGAATTTAATTCTCTCAATGAATCAACAGATTGCATGTTCAATAATAATTTTTATATAAGACGGAATAATTCAAAAGCTCGTTAGCATAGATAAAAAATAAGGTAATATCCTCATCGAAATTTCTGATTTATTGATGTAAAAAAATAAATTACAAGAATTCGAAAATACATAAACATTTTACAAAGTGACATAGAGTCTCTATACTAATGCCTGCCGGTATTTCGTTCATCTAAGCTATCTAACACATCCCAACATTAACTCTAATCCGTCCCAACATTGATGTTCTGAATAAAATAAAATGGTTGTCAGTTATGCATAGAACACAGAGTCAGAAATTAGCAGTATTTATCTTAGTAAACTCACCGAAAGTCCACCTAATAAGGTCCTGAAGTAAAGTCGTTTCTTTTGAAAACGCACATAGAAACCACGATATTAGTAATCACTAGATAAACATTCAATTGAGTGATGTAATAGTTACCATATATAACTCCACATGACTAAAATTGTACGATCGTTTATTACTAATTCAGATCGAATGATGTAAATAATTTTTATATATTTACACATTGTGTTGCACAAGCATTCCATTCCATTTCCATTCCAAATGCAAGAGCCACATGGCAATCACAGCATCTTATTAAAGACGTTTACGGTGAATGAAGCATAATGGACATTCGTTATATCACAAGGTGATAAAATCAAATGTCGATCTTTTTTATATTGTGTAACATTTGATATCAATCGATTTAAAGTAATAAAAAAAAGATACAATATTTTTCAAAAACTAATTTATCATTACGCAGTTTTTTTTTATTAATATGTCATTCGTTCCTTTCTTTACATTTGGATAAAAAAAGATCTGGGAGATCTCCGCAATAGCGAAACTTAGATGAGAGCCGAAGTTTTAAGGTTTTATTAATTAATA